TCCTTTAAAGATTTTAGTTATATTATATGTATACACCTTTAAGATGGCATTGATTAAAATTGTTTTTAAATTATGATGAATTTTTTAATATTGTCAAAGCCTAATTACTCAATAAGGTTTGTGTTGTGGGTTAGTTCCTTTCTGCAAAAAAACCGTCCAAGTATAACTTTCAAATTACCCTGTTGAAAAATGAGATGGGCAATTTCCTCCCGTCTTCGCATTCCAATTCTCTTAATGTTGTTAAAGTCGTCGTCCGCATTTTGTTCAACATGGTTATTTATCTCATTATTAAGCTGCACTTCTTCCAACGACGCTGGGCTTCACGTCATTCCTCATTGGAAGATGGAAACTTGATCCACAGATTTGCTTTCTGCCAGACTTTTTCCGTTACTTCAGCTATTGTTTTCGACACAATACTTTGGTGAATTCCAATGTTTTCCCCCACGCCGTTTTGGTAAACCGGATCAGCGATATACCGCAAAAACACTTTCATTTTCAGAAACGGTGGTAATGCACCACCACGTGTCTCCGTCTCGTCACCAAAGAAATGGTTGGCTAACCAATGCACGTTTGCTTCACTGAAACGATAAAGGCACTTAAAATCATTAGGTGGTGTTTCTACGCGTCTTTTGTAACGTTTTACGGCTCTTAGATTATTTAGAAACGCCATAATTACCACAGACGTGTCTCTTACCTGAACGCTAAGTCTGCACTGGAGCTGAGTGGAGATACCTTCAGAAAAATGAAGTCTGTGCTATAGATCCCTAGCAAAAGCTTGATTTTATTCATACAAACTGAAGTATTTGCTTATGGTGCAGCAAATGCTTTTCCTTCGGTGGTAAAGTATGTGCTCTAACTTTATTTATCATATACTTTGAAGGTTTTGGTTCATGAATTTGAAGTGAAAGCATTTGATACGTTTTATTCATGAGACCCAATATGTCAGTTAGATGTTATCATAGCACTAAAAGTAGCGCGTCTTTTTATGTTGACGGATTCTTAACATACGAAGTTAACGCGCTTTTAAAGCGCTTGCTTTAAGCACGACGGTTGGATGACGAATTCGATATCACTGCTGCTCAACATCATGACCATCACGCTAAGCTCTTCATTTACAATCGGCACCCATAACCTAGAGTTATTGAACTTGGAGATCCAAATTATAGTCTAAGATACCAGGGCTACCAGACATTTCTTATTTTCTGAAACACGTCGTGAGGCATCAAACTGGGTGTATACGCACTTTAACTGTCTACCTGCTAAGTTGTATATTGGTCCGATTTTCTGGTACCAGGTGAGAAATGTTAAGGAAAAATAAGAACAGCTTTACAAAGTCTTATGACTTTGTTAAACTTTAACAGGTAATATCCAGCACTACCAGATACTTGTGGCTGGCTATACCTTCTGCCAGACGCTATCGCAATATAAATTGTCTTTCTTCCCTCTAATTTTCTTGTATTCATAAGCGTTTATAAAAAAAAGATGTTCCATACATAAGTTATAGAATCTAATATTAATTTTTTCATGCAATGTATTTTTCGTCTATATCGTGTCATTGCTATCAAATAGTGTCCCGTTAAAAAAATATTCGATATGACACCTTGTTTAAAGCGTCTAGCAGTTATGACTGATGGCAAGTGTCCGGCAGTGCTAAATATTGCTTTGTAATAATATTTTACAAAATAGGTATAAACACCAGTCATATAAATTGAAGTTACTTATTTTTACTTCACCTTTCTCACCTGGCACCAGCAAATCGAACTATTACCCAACTTAGCGAGTGTCTATGCGTTGAAGGTACGTCCAAACAGAAGCAGTGGTCCACGTGTTGGCTTCAGAAAACAATTGATATCTGACAGCTCTGGGATCTTACTCAATTAGGATTATCAGAATTGTCATACGCAAGAAAGATAGGTGTATGTGACGCTAAAACATTTGGAACATCGCTGAATGTCGGCCTTTAATCGACCGCTCCATTTTGGCATTTACACATAAACGTGATTGTCCTATTGGGAATCGTGTACGTCAATCTCCATTAGAAATTGTCGTTTGTGCAGTTTGTCCTATAGGAATGCCAGTTAGTCGTTAAGCCAGGTCTAGACGCTACGTTTTGCACAACCTTTTGTCTGCACAGTTCAATACGTGGCAGATAAAACGTTGCGTGTAAATGGAAAAAGTGTGCAGATTTGAATCCGGCGCGAAGACGGTACAGTTGCAGCGATAACTGAGCGAAAGAGCATACGTATCCTTGAACTGTGCGTACAAGTTGGCGCACGTAGACGGTAGCACCGTCTTCCGATTCATTTCGTTCCTCAGTTTCAATTCGTCAGGCGATAATGGCTGACCCTCAGCAATGTTCTCGCGAGTTTCTCACAGAATTTATTGCAACATACAAAAGATTCACATGCATTTGGCGTATCAAATCCAAGAAGTATGGTGTCAGGGATAAAAAAGGGGACACTTATGAAAGCTTAGTGCAAAAATTCAAAGAAATTAATGCAACTGCAAACACGCGACGACTTTGAATGCCTGGTGCTTCTGAGACGTTCCAATCTTATCTTTTTTTTAATGAGACACCATGCCGAAATTCACCACAGTACCTCTTCCATGACGATATCACACAGAACTGAGCGAAATATACAGATATATCTGCAGCATGAAGACGCTCTAAAATTGTAACGTTTCCATTGCGTCCTAAGACTGCGCAGACGAAAGATTGTGCAAAACGTAGCGTCTGATCCGGCCTTTAGACCGACGCTAGCGCGACGTTTTACGTTCGTATAATAAGGTCGAAATTGGTAGACAGTGTCGTTGAAATTCGGTGAATTTAAGGACAAGTAGGAAGACAGATCAAGGCCAGTGCAGGATCAGTGGTAGATCAAGGGCCTTTGCCGGCACCGCTGTCTACGAAAAAAGAATATTTTTGCATTACGCGAGCTCACACGGCACATGTTTTTTTAAAGCATCCCGATAAAATAATAACTTTTTTATTACAACTTGTACAATGAGCGTACTGGTCGCTCTTCAAACTCGTCTGCAACTATCTTTGCTCTCTCTGTCCTCTCTTCTTTTCGCATTTTTGTTTAGAGTATCGTAAATAAACATAACTATAGCCCCACCAACACCATTCAGCTTTCTTTTGCTCAATCAATTGTAACTTAGTATAATTTACAGGGATAATCGAACAAACAAAAGGAATATACAGGGTGACTTTGAAGTTGAGTCATTAATTTTCAGATAATGATTGTAGAAGGAAGATAAACCAAAATATGTGTGTAAAAATAAAAAAAAATAAAAAAAAATGTTACCTTGTTTAATAAAGTATCCTCCCGACAAGTATTTCAGTGCGGACCTGTATTTGATCGTGCGGTCTTGGAGCAGCATGCCCTCACCTGTGAGGTCTTAAGTCACCTGATTCACGAGCCCTTTGTACTACATTAACAAAGGCACGAGGGGTTGGTTGCACTCGATTGGGAAACCGATTCGCATAAATCCGTGATGCATCCGGGAGCATTTTGTAAAGACTGACCCCCCGTAAATAAGAATCATGTCCACAAGTTCAGCATTTTCGTAAACATGTGCCATTTTTGATTTCGTTTGAACCACGCAACACACTACTATTCACTTACACGTTATCGACTGACGAAAAACATCGTGATAAACGTTTCAAATTCTTTCGCTTTTTTGTTTCCGATGCGATGAACCGGTCAGGCGGATTATATCCGTTGTCGCCAAACACGAGCATATAATAGGCAGGGCGGTACTCAAACTTCCAAAGGGCTATAACTTTGTTACTTTAATTTTACCAGAAAAATGGTAAAGGAAAAAAACATTTCTTTTGATCAGATCTACTCACTGTTAAAATAAATGACTCAACTTCGAAGTCACCCTGTATATGCAGTTTACTCAACAAACAATTTATAACACTAAGTTACATTTGAATCAACTACAGAAAAACTGAAAAGTGTTGGTGGGGCTAGAGTTATGCTCTCCAGTATATTTTTCTGTTTCACCCCTGAACGTGAATCTTGTCCCCTAACATTCCAAATTAATATTTAACTAAAAACAGACGAGCTTTGGTTTCCTTATTGCTTGTCCGGTAACGCGGTAATGACGGCGATCTACGACCTGTACCTGTTGCACGTACAAAAATCAATACAGGAGCAACGGAGTACGGGATCTGCGTACATAATTAAAGGCAACCCAAATCTAGGTCCCTCGTGTGCCCGGCTTCCCGAAAATTCATTAGGCTAATTTTTGTTCCAACTCTTTTAGCATAAAAAATCTGAATTATCTTGAAGAATTCTGGAAAGTGAGTTCGTTAAATAAGGTCTCATTTTGATAAAAATGCAGAAAAATTAATAAGTTTGGCAACACTGCTGCGATACTTCGCTACCTCGATGTCATCGCGATGTGAAACAAACGCATGCTTCAAGATCTTTGCTTACTCGTTGTCAACCACGAGGAAGAAGAAATATTTTTACCTCACTGTCATCGAGGAGGGCTAGACTGTGATTAAATTCCTTCAAGGTCCCACTAATTCCGATCGGGCATGATTCAGCTTGAGCTCCGTCTATCTATGTATAAATATCAATAAAAGTCGAGGTAGGGAAGAAAGCACCGCAGTAAGGCATCTTTCTCCGATTTAGCAAACTATACTTGTTATGGTTCTAATATCCCCTTCGTGGGAGTGCCATTTAAATGACCCCGTATACTACCCTTCCCAATTACCCTCAACTTGATATATCGGCAATTTGCTTACTCGCTCGTGGTTACCCACCGTTCAACTCCGTTAATGTCTACCGATAACAAATAGCTCCTATATTCGAAAAGGGACTCGCAATCTACAGTAAACCGCTCGTGTAAACCGTATCTTAAAGAGAAACAAACTCTGAACTTCTTTGAGGAGGCGCCACGTACGGTTGAAGCATCAACTGGTGGGGGTACTGGTGGCGGTAGCACCTCCTGGTCACAATCTGGCAACGAGAGGGTGGAGTTACCTCCTGCAGTGACCCGGGGTCCCATGTTATCGTAATGGGGCAACTGCACCGTCGAAGGAGGCCTCCGTCGGGGCAAGGTAGCTGTCCCCACGCTTCTGTGGGACAAATCCAAAAGATCGGGCCGCCCACTTACGTCTATTAGATCACGCCTACCGTGGGCGTGGTCAGTGTTTGGATCCCGGCCTACTGAGACGGCGATGAAGATGTTGCCGAAGGGTGGGACCCCCACGCCTAGGCTGGCGGGGCCTGTTGAGAACTCGGGTGGAGGCGGGAACACTGCTAAAGATACCTGAAACAAAAGGATATACTTCAGTCTAGACATTCGATTGGGGCAGATTTTAAACAATGGCAGAATACGGTGAACATACCAATTTTTGACACCGGGAATGTAGAGTTGGAAATTCTACATTCAAGTACATTTTTGTCCATGACCTTGACCGCAACCTACTTGGATATTTGAGGGTATCTAAAGGACAAAATATTTAAAAATGGTGACCTTGAACGTGACCTGGGCTATGACCGTCATTTAAAAGTCCTCAAATGGAAACTCTTAGTTTTGACACGGGAAATGTAGAGTGCACTTTATGTTCCAATAGTGCCGTGACCTTGACTGTGAGCCTAAAGGTCATTTGAAAATGAAATTAATTTTTAAGGAAAATTATCTACATTCAATTCAATTCCTGATTTGCAAAATGCGGACAATTTATGCCCTAGTATTTTGATATAACCTTACGTTTTGGATACCCTGTATATTTATAGAGGTACACTCGTTGAACTTGAGATACCACTTTGTGGAGATCGAAGGGTAGATTGAAGGTGAGGTCAAGCAAAATGATTAAATCTCAAAGTTATGAACTTTCATCTCATAAATTTATCGGAAAATTCAAATATTCAAGCCGCTCTAGCTTAATTGCCCTGCCTTAAAAGCAAAGAAGATTTTGCACCGATGTAAAACATTTTTCGTCAGAAGAGAACACCGTTAGTATATATCTAGAGGCAATAGTTCTAGGACTCAAGCCAAGCGCTGGGGAACACATATCCTTAGAAATTGTGAAATGAAGAAGATGTCAAATATAACGGATACGTTACGTCAGTCAGTACTGCTGCCTTGGGTTGAATAAATAATAAGCCCGTCTTTCAAAAAATCATATTTGTATATCACGCCACAATGCTTATCTGTGGAAAAAGTCTACACCATTCTGACTTTTTTCATGTCAGCGATTCTCCCTTATTCGTAAAAAACGTATATTTGCAAACATTATATTCTCCCCATACCGTAACACAAACAATGCTCTGGAAACTCCCTGAAAAGGAAACTGCCTTGAATGAAGTCAGAAAAAAGCCACCCTAACGATGTGTTTGGTTTGTAAAGTTTCCACTCCCCCTAACAAAGTATTTGAATACCAAAAAGTATAAAATGCTGCGTATAAATAAAAGTGCGAATGATAAAGGAAAATAAACTTTACCTTCAAAATTGCGAATTGAAGCAATTTTATGCGGCATGCATTCTGTTTGTCGGTGTTACTTCCAAAATGTTATATTTGTTATTCATGGACTCCTTTCACTTTACTCTGCTTGTTTTGAGATGATTTTAATCCCAGGCTAATAATCGTAATAAAGCTTCACTCATAATCGAGGAAGCATTGTCATTGTGAAAATTGTTGAGCGTTACATACGTATTAACGATGATAGTATTGTGCACGCAAGTACTTTTAATTAAAATTAATAAAACAGATCACAGGCATATTAACTTTTTATTTGCGCTGCCAATGGTTGTTACTTTTTAAATGGTAATGAAATTAAAATACAGCCTTGTCTTTTTTCTAACATCCCGGGTGTTTAAAATCCGACACACATAACTGGGATCTCGGAACCTGTAAGACATACGAAATCGCTTAAATTTTTCGTTTTAATTTTTTATCCTGACATATATATATATATATATAGGAAAATAATGGGCGCAATCCGCAAAAAGAAGGAAAGTGGATTCGAGCAGAAAATAGGATAGGTAACCCGAGCGATACGTATTTCTGTCGGTTGGCTTCATCAGGCCCGAAATGAATGCACATATGCAACTAAAAAAGTAGATACACATGCCCATACATCCGAATACGGGTGTAACCTGAGAAACTAGGATGGAGAGGGAAAAAGTAACACACGAAGTCCACAACGTGTATTGTATTTTCCACCATCAACTTTATTTGTTATTATAAATGCCATATTAAATTTTTGCACATATAAATACAGTTTTTAGTATTGCCAAGCCTTAGTTATTCCAAAACAGCAAAATTCCTTACGTAGGCATCGAAATTATCAGATAATCATTTGTTTGGCATACCAAAAAATCATTTTTGTTGTTTCCTGACTTCAGACGAGATTCCAAAATAAATGGCACGTTACTTATTCTTCTCTACAAGATGGTAGTCAAACTATCAATGCAAGCTTCTTTCTTCTTTCGAATTCCATCACTCACTTTGTTTTTTCATATGGACACTATATTGGAATTTTATACGTTTAAATATATACTAAGTGACATATAAATCCGAACACCCAGTTTAAATGGTTTTATTTTAATAAAATTTTGTATAAGTACTTAATGAAGCATAATAAGTAAATGATAAAAATTTCAAAATGATTGCACTGCTTTAAAGCCCTTTGACCTTTAATAATGTGTGGATGCACCCTGATGTGCTACGCATTCTCCAACGCGCCTAGGCATGCTTATGATCAGGTGGTCAATGTTCTCCTGTGGTATCTCATTCCAGGCAACCACCAACTCCTCTCGAAGTGCTTCTAGAGTCTGAGGAGGACGTTGCAAATTGAGCAATCTCCTACCCATCATATCCCACACGTGCTCAATTGGGGATAAGTCGGGAGATCTTGGCGGCCATGGTAACAATGTGACATCATTATGTTGAAAGAAGTCTATTGTGACTCTTGCAACATGTGGTCCGGCATCAGCTTGTTGGAAAGTTGGATCTGCCAGGGTGTCAAGATAGGGTAAAAGATGGGGTTCTAGAACTTCGTGGATATAACGCCGCGCGTTCATGTTACCTCTGATGAAGATTAAAGGTGACCTGGAACCATAAGCTATAGCACCCCAAACCATAACTCTAACAGTGTGATGAACATGTCTTTCAACAAAAAAACTGTGGATTCCTCCTTTCACCACGTCGCCTTTTAACCCTGCCACGACCATCGTGCATGCTTAAACAAAATCGAGACTCGTCACTCAAGACAATACTGTTCCATTCCTGATTCCAGAGTGACCGTTGTCTGCACCACTCAAGGCGATTACGTCGATGTTCTCGAGTTACAGGGAGGACCCAGTGTGGCCGGTATAAAAACAAGCCAAAACTTCTCATTCGTCGGTAAACACTTCGCATGCCAATAGGTCTTCCGTGTTCTGCAAACCATTCATTTGCAATGGACCTGGTAGTGGAGAAACGGTCCCTTAAGGCCAATAATCTCAGGCGGCGATCTTCACGGTCTGTTGTTCTACGGCGGCGTCCAGTGCCCCTTGCTCTTTGCGTACGGCCTTCTCGAAGCCATGCCTGACAACACCTAACCACAGTGTCTACACTTCTTTGCACTCTAACTGCAATTGCCCGAAAAGAAAGTCCAGCTTCCCGAAGTCCCACTATACGGCCCCTATCAAACTCACTAAGTTGACGAAATCGTACAGGTCTCCGTACTCTAGGCATCGTAACCGATCCTAAAGGATGTCAAGAACCAAAATCCGCCAACGTTGATTCTTTACTGCGGCTGAAATATTCATTTTTAGAGCGTTTTTTTTTTTTTGGCTTTAGGACTAAGCGATGCAGCCAGAAACTAGGTTGGTATATAGAATATATCTAATTATGAACAAACACACGACGTCACAACATCCATGGCGAAGGCGAGATTCGAACTCGCGACCCGGCCGGCCGGCTGGTCAGTAGCACGGCACTCTGACCCACGCGGCCAACCGAGGTCCCTTTTAGAGCGTTAGTGAATTAAAAAAAGCAGTATAAAAACCGGAATGTCCAACTGATAAGGCTGAAAGTTTGTTCACTTGTTATTTACAGTAAGATAAATACATTCACCAACTTTTATTAAAATAAAACCATTTAAACTGGGTGTTCGGATTTATATGTCACTTAGGGTTTGTACCAACAACGCTGCGTACCGTACATTGTACCGTCACGCACGTGCGCAGTCCGCTTGAAGTGTTCCAACACAAACCTATGACGGTTCATGGGACGCTTGATACACTGTTCCAACAGATCTCCGACAGTTCAACGAACGGTTTTTGGACCGTCAAAACAGTACCTGGTCCGTAGCGAGGACTGTGAGTCCACACATGCGCATTGAATAGAAATTAGAATGTTGAAATTTGAAGGTTATAAGGATAAGGAATGTTGTTTTGCCATGGAGAATCAAAATATCCCAGCTTATGGTAAGTTTGACGACTATGGGGTCGGGACGTATGGAGCTAACTGCCTTCTGTTTACAGAACTAAACGAGTTTCTTGTTATGCCAAATACAAGTGCTCTGCAGAGCGAGAGTACCACGGCACGAGCACCAGAATTTAGATGGAGTCATCAGGCAACCAAAATTCTCATTGAAGTTTATGGAACCTTTAAAAGGAAGCTAGGTTCCTTCGACGTCAAAAATTCAAAGATGATGTGGTGGAAAATATCACAGGCTTTACTAGACTATAATATTAAGGTAACGCCAAACAATTGCATGAATAGATGGAGGGTACTGGAGCGGAACTATAAAAAATATGTTGATAACCAAAGGCAAACAGGTAAGAGGACTCCTAAAGCTGAGAAGTAATTGAAATTGCCTTTTAATTATGAATCCAATGAGATACACCATAGTTAGATGTAAAAGCTAAGGCAACTTTGCATATGCTTGGCAGGATGTAATTTAATTTTTTCCTGTAATTTTAGGTAGGGGAAGAACATTTTTTGAGTATAAGCATGAAATGGAGGAGGTATTTCTCAAGAAAAAAAATATCCATCCTGAATTGCTGCTAGCAAGCGATCAAATAGATATGAACAGTGATAATGCTATCACTACAGCTGCACCAGATGTCTCTTCACCATCTAAAAGCGTAAGCAGCCCAAAATCATTGCAAGCAGTGATACCACAGAAGAAAAGTCAGATAATTCGAAAAAGACAAGGTATTATGGAAAAAATAAGAAGTGACCGCAAAACGTATTATGAGGAAAAACTGCACATAGAAAACTTAAAATTAGAAGAAATGAAAAAAAGGAACCAACTGATTGAGGAACGAAACAACATCCTCAAAGAAAAGCAGTGTAACTGTCACCAAACAAGCTCCTAGCTTTACTGTATTTTGCCATTAAAGTTAAGTCATAGTTTATTAGTGTTGTTGTGTTCAGTATTGAAATATTAATTTTATATTATGTTATGTTCAAATTTGATTTGTGTTCTAGTTTTATATTATTGCAAATGAGTACATAAAGTTCAAACAAATGGGTATGCACTCTTTTTCCAGTACTCTTTAGGACCTTGTAGAGGAAGGTCTTAACCTTAATTAGATACTCAACAGTTTTGAAAATAATGGGTATGCAGACATTAACTCGTTCATAACTTGAATGCTTAACATAACGTCAGAAACAAGTTAGTAGTGACCTATGTGTCAAGTGATCCCAGTATTCTCAACAAAATGGACACAGCCCAAAACTCTGTAAATTATTTAAAGTTGAGCATTTCCGAGTTATAAGCAATTTATGTCTGAACATCTCTACAAATAAGCATTTTCTGTGTTGAAACTTATGGTTTGCATTGACAGGTGTCTAAATCAAAGTTAAAACCTTCCCCTACCACATACTGAAAAGTGTTATGGAATTAGTTTATTTTAAAGTTACTTATAAGCTTATTTGGTAGGCTGAAATAGGTGCAAGTGTCATTTGAACAGGGTGTACTCTGCTTGTTTTTGATTAGTTTTCAGTTGTGCAATTCCTTTTGGATAGACTGATTTATGTTTTGTTGCAGTATCTCTAATTAGCTTTCAAGTGTGTCATTTATGTTGTGATGGTACAAAGAATTCATAATTTATTTGTCTACCTCATCACTGGCTGGTGAATCAAACACATGAGTGGACTTATTTATGGACATTTCAGCTGCCCTGGCAGCCTTTATCATAGTGCAAAATAAGAAAAAAAAGACACGAAATGTTGAAAGTTACAGTAACATTATGAAGGGTTTTCTATTAAATAGCTCTGATTCTAAATTCATATCAATATAGATCGTCAGTGTAACTCTTAACTGTCTATTCTTATTGTGTACTTTTAAAATGCTGCTGTCACATAAAGTAGTAAATAAGTTCATTTAATTCATGTGGTTTAACTGACTGCCCATGGATGAATAAAACTAATCTAGCATAGAACCATGTGATAAGTTTCAAGTGATTTTAATTGTTGATTAATACTTTATGCAACATGAAGACTGATTTTTTAAATGTTAAATATATGGAAATATATTTTTTTGATTTTCATACTTCTCTTTTATTTAAATTGTTGGTGCTCCTTTATTATTCTGTTATTAACGCTACAAGGAAA